AATCATTTGAGTCATTTTAGGGAAAAACTCCCATTTTCTCCAATTTCATCCCAAACACCAAAAATCAACCATTTTAGCACAACACAAGCTTACAATTGCTCCCATAACCATTTCTACAACATTCATTCGAAAACCCATCTTGTGATTTTAAACCAAAATCCTAAATTTGTTCAAAACTACCTCAAATCCCAATATTTCTTACACAACAACAAATAACTAAGCTAAAACTCATAGAAGAGTGTAGAAAGTCCTTATCTCAAGCGTAGAAGACCAAAAGAGAAGTGGAGAAACTCCAAAGATGCCGAAACCAAGATTGATTCGGATCAAAACGTAGCTATTGATGTGCTCTACCTTTTTAACAAAGGCACAATCACTAGATCTAGATGAAAAGTAGAGAGAAGGTAGGTTTTAAAGAGAAAGGGTCTCAACTTTAGGGTTTGGAGAGAAATAGACCTGAAAAAGTGATGTAAAATGACCTTTTCACGAACTGATTATACGCACAAACCGCTCAAGCACGAGAAGTGACGCTCGAGCGTCAAATACAATAAGTTGTTCCGCTCGAGTGCAAGAAGTGATACTGGAGTGCCAAGACACAAAACAAAATGGCATTACCGCTCGAGCGCAAGAAGTGACGCTCGAGTGCAGAATATACACATCCAATAGTTTTGCAGATAATAGACCAACACTCGAGCGCAAGAAAAGGCCACTCGAGTGCCCACATACTCAAGCATAGGAAATGCCACTCGAGCGTAGAATACATCTTCCCAGTAGTTTTGCAAACCTGCAAAAGTACTGAGAATTCACAAAGCCCGCTCGAGTGCAAGAAGTGCCGCTCGAGCGGAGAAGCAAAATTCTGGGCAACAAAGGTTTGAAAACTAAGCAACCAAGCTTTTCCAAACACAACCACAACCACCCAAAAGTCAAACTTAAGGAGATACAAGGGAAACAAGCTGTAAACAACAATGTGAAACCATCAAACCTGAGTCCGGGATACAAGGGTCGGGTCAAAATCGAAATCGCTACAACTTCCCTCCTTAAAGAATTTCGTTCCCGAAATTTCAAATCAAGTTTTAAAACTAAGTTAAAACCAATTACAACAATGGTGTAGGAACCCTAATTTTTCATAGGTCATTATTTATTTATTATTACTTTATTTTATGTTTGGCTTTATTAATTGTGTGGATCTATGAGAATTTAATATGACATTTAATTAATTTAATGTGATAGTCAATTATATATAAGTAATTCGTATATTTATATATATATATATATATATTATATATAAGTGTTTTATATATTGATAAAATATATATCACATTTATTTATATTTTAATTATGTTGTATTTGTATTATATAATAAGTGATTAGTTTTTTGAATAATGCTTGAGACCCCCTTTTGGGGGTCACCCCCTCACCCCCTTTGCCATGTGGCAGGGGGTGATTGGAGGAGCAGGAAAAGAAAGAAAAAGAAAAAGAAAAGGTAACCAATGAGAGAGAGAGGGAGTCAAAGAGGGTGGGGGAAAAATGGGGGATGAATCATTACTCTAGTTTATAAACTAAAGGGAAAAAAAGAGAAGGGCTGTGTGTGGCGGCAACCCGAGAGAGAGAGAGAGTGAGAGAGTAATCAAGAAAAAGAGAGTTTGCGGCTGTGTGCGTGAGAAAGAGGAAAGTGGAGAAGAAAAGTTTAGGGTTTTATTTTGGGGGGCTTTATTGATTATTTAAGTAATTTTTTGATTTTTAAAAATAAAATAATTGTAAATACAAAATTTATTTCTCTTAATTTATGTTTAATTCATTATTTTTATTTATTTGATGTTGAATTGATTTCATATTTACATGTAGACGATTGATCGATTTTAATTATTTTGATTAGTTGTACATGCGAGATTTAGGGTTTTTAGATAATTGATTGATTTTAATTATTTTGATTAGTCGTATATACAAGGTTTAGGGTTTTTAGATGAATTTATTTTATGGTTGTAATCACACTCATAGATATATGACATTAAAATAAATTTAGAACTTATAGATAAATTCTTTACACTCCACCATGACTCTATAGATTTTTGTTTTATTTGAGTATTGGTGAGAAAAAGTGTATTAAAAAAAGTGAGGATTATGAGATTTATTTAAATGCCTTATGCTTGGCATTATTATGTTTGTTCTCATGAGTAAATGAGTGAAATATTTTGTATATGTGTATTGTTGCCTCGTTCTCAAGAGTAGACGAGTGCTTTGATTTATGCGCGTACGTATATGCTAACCATCTGGGGAGTGTGGGTCAAACTTGGGACGATATCCCCATGCAAGTTTGGCTTCGGAGCGATATTAGGTATGCGGGAGACACATGAGATATATGTGTAGGCCGGAAGTGGAGGCCGAAGTGGTGAAGTTAAGTTACAAAGAATTTAATTATGAGTTTATTGTTGTAGTGTGAATTGTATTGATTTGTACATCTTGAAAAATTAAAAACGACGTCAATGAATTATGAAATTTGAGTAGAGGCATGTATATGTGATTCTAGACAATATTTGTGTTTTAACTTTTTATTAAAAAGATCGATTAGAACTTGTAATCGGATGACCTTGGTTACAATAGTTTTTATTCATTTTAGCAGGACAGACTTTACATGCTTTTTTTACTCACGAAAAGAGTTCATTTTTCTTAGTTTCACGTAAACTGAAGTAAAACATTATTATGCATACTTTCATGTTTGAACTTTTGCAGAAAAAATCATCTTAGGGCAATTTATGTTCGTTTTCATATTCAGATTTTTCGGTTGAATTCCGTCTAGGTTATTCTATCCATTTTTTTTTCTAAACCTGTTCAGTTTCTACTAAATTTGTTCGCGCTGCCTTTTATAATATTTGATTTTGTACAACTTTTGTTATTTAAGTTTTGGTCAATTCAAATTATTTAAGTATGAAACGGTGCATTTTTATGTTTCTTTAGCAAGTTACTTATGATTAAATTATACTAACTTTATTTTTTGTAGGATGATGGGTCTTACTAACTTTTTATGCAGGGCTGACCCATCATATTTTTATTTCTATTTTTTTTTATTTTATACTCAATTTATATTTCGTTGTGTACAGGCAAAAAACTAAATGCCACCGTATCTCGAGAAACTACCCATTCGTCTCGGTGCGAATGAAACTACTTGTTTTGTCCTGTAACAAGAATTAAATGTATTTTTTTATTTGTGTCTGGTGGATACGTGGGTGTTAAATCTTGTACTCATACTAGTATATTTGTATATTGACCCGTTTTGTCTTTTGGCAACTCGGGTGCGTTCTATTTGAGCGCAGCGGAGCTTCCACTACAACAAAAGTAACCTATGGTGACGAAAAATAGTGAAGAAATAAATTTCGTTACTAAATAAGAATAATTCGTGACGAATTATAAAATTTTGTCACATATAATAAAAAAATAAAAATATTAGGTGACAAAATTTATTTTCGCCAACAAATACTTCTTTTTAGGTGAGAAAAAATTAAGTTTTGTCACTGAAGGTTTTCCCGCTAAGTTTTTTGGGTTGCGCCAAAATTTTAAGACTTTTGGTGAGAAAAAAATTTGTCACCAATTATAAAATTATTAGTGACGAATATATTTTCGTCACCAATAATTTTATATATATATTTTTTGAGAAACTTGATTTTAAATATTTTAAGACAATTTGGTGAGAAATATATTTGTCACTAATAATTTTTAATATTTTCAGATTTTTTAGTGAGGAAATTATTTTGTCACTAATTTTGGAGGGAAAATTTTGACATATTGGGCAGTAATTAAAAAAAATAGACTACTAACTTCCCTTTTTTTTTTTGTTTATCAGTTTTCCTTCCCTCTTTCTTTCTCTCTCTCAGAACAAAACACAAGTTAATTAGCTCTCTAAGTAGGAAGTGGTGACGCTGCTGCGCAGCCCGCGCAGCAGCGTCTGCTGTGCTGAGATTTGGGCCTATTTCGGGACCCATTTTGATAATCCGAACCGTTCACATTTTAGAATACGTTAAGTAGAACATGCCTGCAAAAAATTCAGTTAATCGGATATCGTTTACCCATTCATCCACTCACATTTGTATATACAAAAATAAATACAAATGTATTTTAACTTGATTAAAATGAATACAAATGTGAGTGGATGAATGGGTAAACGATATCCGATTAACTTGATTTTTTTCAGACATGTTCTACTTAACGTATTCTAAAATGTGAACGGTTCAGATTATCAAAATGGGTCCCGAAATGGGCCCAAATCACCGCACAACAAACGCTGCTGCGCGGGCTGCGCAGCAGCGTCACCACTTCCCTCTAAGTAACCTATGGTGACGAAAAGTAGCGAAGAAAATAAATTTCATCACTAAATAAGAATAATCCGTGATGAATTATAAAATTTTGTCACATATAATAAAAAAGTAAAAATAATAGGTGACAAAATTTATTTTCGTCAATTAATACTTCTTCTTAGGTAAGAAAAAAAATTAAATATTTACATTTTTCTTGTCTAGACAAATATGATGCAATGGTATTTTGACACAATCCCATCCCAACCAATTTTTTAAGTAGGTTTTATTTTTTTTTTTTTAAATTTATAAAAAGATTAAATATTTATATTATACCCAACTAAACAAAAACTTAAAATTAAATATATATATATATATATATATAATTCACTCCACATTGAAAAATAAAAATCACTTGGAATTATTGTTTGAAAGAAATAATTACTTGAATTTTTTTTCTTTTTTGGATCATCAGACCACTGGTCTCTCTCTTTCCATCCTTTTCATTCTCTCATTTCTCTCTTATTTGTGCTCTCCCAATCCAGAACGTTCTCATCACCTACCCCCTGACTCTCTCTCATCAGCGACTGTGAGTCTCTCTCTCTCTCTCTCTCCATTGTTCTCTTCGATGAGCAAGGGACTATCAGCAGGGGTCTCTTCTCGTCGCCGATCCCCATCACTCTCTCTTCTCGTTGTCGATCGGTCTCTCACAGTCGACAGTTGACGAGGATCTAACATCACAAACCCCTCTTCGATGAACATCAATCAACAAGATCAAAGATCACAAACCCTCCTCGCAGATCGCAGCCTATTCGTAGATCACATATCACAAACTCAAACTCGTAAGCATATTGAAATACAAATATTTCTTGTTTAAAATTTACTTTAGATTTTGGAATCTTTGCTTGAGATTGCTTGAGATTGTTGTTGTTTGGTTGAGATTTGTTGAAATTTGTTTGAGATTACTAATAACTTTTTTGAAATTGATTGTTGCTGTTGTTTTTGGTGAATTTGTTTTTTTAAAAAAAAATTGTATGATGCATTTATGTATTTAAGCAGAATTTAGGGGATAGTAGGATGTTTGATAGATTCATGAATGGAGTATACACTGAGTTTTCGTTTGGTTTGTCAAACATGTGGATTGTCCATCTCATTTGCAGTCAAGTACAACCAATGCTTGTGATTTTTATCTCATACATACAAGCATTTTCACATTTTATTGGAACTAAACCAATGTAGTTTGTTGGAGGGTCTGTAAAAAAATTAAATCACCTACATGAATTTAAGTCTATTGAACATATACAAACTGCCAAAACATAGGTGGTCACCCCAATCAGGAAGAGCTTTCATCAGTCCAGTTGTTCAAGATAGAAGCAGGTGCACCCACTAGAGAAGACCACCCCATATATTTTTTCCTTTATGGCAGAACCAGTCCAAGTTTGTGCGAGAGCTTATTTAATCTATACTGAAATTACAAATAAATTTTCCTGTTTGCATTGCAAGATCTATGCTTTAAAATCCTTTTAACAACAAAGTTCATTCAAACAGTTTAACAACGAAAAAAAAAAGAAAAAAAAAGAATAGTATATTCTTATTGACACTCTTCCATGACAACAACATGTCTTTGGCCAGTTTCCTTGTACGAATTGCAGCACCCCTCATCAATTTAAGTGACCTACTCACCTTTTTTTTCACTTGGAAAAGAAAAAGCACCAGAAACTTCAAAAATAAAACTATAAATATGACAAAGATTTTGGGGCCTATAGTTACCCACCCTTCCCGGCCAAACCTCTTTTCATGCCATCATTACAGCCAATGACCCCAAATCAAGGAAACCCTTTGGGAAACAGGCAAGGTCAATAATACCGCTAGCTTTTCATCAGCTTTAATTATCCTATGAGTGATGCTGTGCCCAAAATCCACGTAACTAAGTTCATAAATTGATCTGTTAAAACCTATCACCTACTTCACCCACTTAAACCTACTCCACTAAACCTAACCCACTACACCACTACCACCTCACCTACTCCACTAAACCTAACCCACTAAATCCACATACTCTCCACCTACTTCACCCACTTAAACCTACTCCACTAAACCTAACCCACTAAATCCACATACTCTCCACCTACTTCACCCACTTAAACCAACTCCACTAAACCTAACCCACTACACCACTACCAACTCCACTTCACCTACTCCTTACCTACTACACACTCACCATCTTCTATATATAGGAATCATGAATCATTGTAAAAGATATAACACATCAATCTCTCAATCATTTCTCTTTATACATTAAATTTCTACATCTAGGTCCTGTCATCCTCACCATCGGAGATACCCATCGTCTGCCTAACCCGACAAAGCCCTTGTTTCGAACTTGAGACAGAAATACCCGAGTGATCTGGGTTAGGCCCATCATACCTCAGGTTATGATCAAGACTTTTATGGCCTGATGGACCATCTCCCACTTGGTTAAAATCTTGGCCCAAATTATGGGTGCAATTTAAGCCCATGTTAATACCCTCATCACCACCAATCTGTTTTTTGTTTGATGCATGAGAGAGGCCCAAATCTGGCCTAGGCCCAAGATCACCCATCAGCCCATCTCCACCTAAAAAATCCTCTCCTGATCTGTGGCCCTGAAAAACTAGCCCATGTTCAATACAAACTGTATCACCCCTTGACCTCCCCTCATCGTTGACATTCCTTGAGTCAAAAATATGAGCCTCTTCATGAACCCCAACTTTCTTGGGAACTAGACAGCCACGTGTCCCAACTGTTACCTCAACCTTATCATCTTCCCTACCTCCGGCGCCAAGCTCTGATGAAAACCCATGCCGGAAACTCCATTGCCGAAGACCCTCTCTGCGTTTGACAGCTTTCGAAAGCGACTTCACATGCACTGTGATTGCTCCTTCATCCGTCATAATTTCCACGGTTGATGGTAAAAATCCAAAAGTCGATCCTTTCACCTTCAGTCTTGCCTCAAAAAGATTTTCAAAAGTCTTGGTTCTTTTGTCCACTGCTAATAGCCCTCCGCATTTCGCACCAATTTGTTCAAAAATCCTTGTATTCCATAAATTAAACGGCATGTCACAAATAGTAATCCATCCTCCATATGAGGCAATAACATTAGATATCCTATGCTTCTCATCGGACCACCTCTCCAATATTACTGCAATACCTTTTTCAAAAAATTGCAAACCTTTATCCCCATAGAACACAGCCATCTCCTTGGTTTTGGTGAAGAACAAAGCTCGATTCAACTGAAAGGGACGAAGCTTGATAGATAACTTGTAAGACTTACATAATTCCTTCTCGATTTGCTCCCAACATATGAAAAAATCTGTTCTCTCACACACCACCACCTGATGGAGAACTAAGGAAGAATCATTTGATACTGAAAATGGTGATTGAAGCTTAAGAACCTCCGCATACGACCTACCTCTGTTTACCCCTGTTTTCACTTGAGGACTCAAGTCCTCTATATGTACCTCCTTATTTGCCCCATTTTGCTGAACATCATCGCCAAGATCATTTGCCATGGCCATATGTCTTACCTGTTTTCCTGCATCCTTGTCTTCAGTACCTCTAACGTGGTTCTTCCGCCTTGTTCCAAATAAGATTGTATCAAGTAACCTAGCCACATCCTTCCACCCTTGTCGATTGACCCCTGCTGGAATGATAATGCTTGATCTTCTTATCCTAGCAACCCACTTGGATAACTCCACAAATTCACCTCTCCTATTAGAATAACTCTGAAGACAGAAGACAGCAGAACTGTTCGTATACTTTCTGAAGAACTGCCCCACCGCACTCGTAGTTCCAACATCTTGAAGGACTTACGATGCCCAGAAGACCCCTCCTAGATCAATTTTCAATGTGAAACTTCTATGCCTATTCCTTTCAATGATTTCCACTACCTCCCGGTGAGATCTCTCATCGACCTGAACAATGAGTATCTTTTGCTCAATCTTCAGATCCAGCACACGATCTTTGTACCTCTTCATTGTCTCCATTCATTCTATTTAATATGATATATAATTCTATATATTTATATACATAAAAAAATAAGTAAATTAACAATACGACTAAATTATATATATGCATATAAAATCACATATAGTAATATAACTAATTATTTTCTTCTATATATTGTCATAGTTTGGCGAAAATGATGTTATTTCATGCATCATCACAAATAGAAATAGAATTGAATCTCTCTCATCAGCGACTGTGAGTCTCTCTCTCTCTCTCTCTCCATTGTTCTCTTCGATGAGCAAGGGACTATCAGCAGGGGTCTCTTCTCGTCGCCGATCCCCATCACTCTCTCTTCTCGTTGTCGATCGGTCTCTCACAGTCGACATCCTACCCCTCTCTTTCCCTCCATCTCTTTCATCTCTCTCCGGTGAACATCAGTTGACGAGGATCTAACATCACAAAACCCCTCTTCGGTGAACATCAGTCAACGAGATCAAAGATCACAAACCCTCCTCGCAGATCGTAGCTTTATTCGTAGATCACATATCACAAACTCAAACTCGTAAGAATATTGAAATATAGATATTTCTTGTTTAAAATTTACTTTAGATTTTCGAATCTTTGCTTGAGATTGCTTGAGATTGTTGTTGTTTGGTTGAGATTTGTTGAAATTTGTTTGAGATTACTAATAATTTTTTTGAAATTGATTGTTGCTGTTGTTTTTGGTGAATTTGTTTAAAAAAAATAAAATTGTATGATGCATTTATGTATTTAAGCAGAATTTAGGGGATAGTAGGATGCTTGATAGATTCATGAATGGAGTATACACTGAGTTTTTGATTGGTTTGTCAAACATGTGGAATGGCCATCTCATTTGCAGGCAAGCACACCCAATGCTTGTGATTTTTATCTCATACATGCAAGCATTTTCACATTTTATTGGAACTAAACCAATGTAGTTTGTTGGAGGGTCTGTAAAAAGATTAAATTACCTACATGAATTTAAGTCTATTAAACATATACAAACTGCCAAAACATAGGTGGTCACCCCAATTTGAGAAGATCTGGTGTTGATTCAATTTTATGTTACCCACCTTGAAGCTCATTTCCCAATTTTGAAACCTTGGAACTAATTTTTAGGACTTGTAAATGAATCATTGAGCCTCTTCTTGTTCTTCTGAATGTGTTTTCCAATCATTGCTCGATACTGCTCCTTTGTAATATGCACATTGTAATTGCCGTTTTCATCCTCATCACAACTATATGCTTAAATTATAATGAAAAAAAAGTTGCAGACAGTGATACTGCAACTCCATGGCCTGGTATAACAAGGGTAATATTGTCCTTTTATTTATTCAATATGGTGGAAAAACTGTTGTCCAATCATTCAGTCAATTTCTAAATGTGTGTGCATTACTCTCTCTGTTAAAATGCATTGAAAAAAAATGATTATTTCTTTTTTTAGTCATGAACACAGGGTTTAAGTGTTGCTTTTGAAGTTCAAAGAGTGTATGTGTTTTCAAGGTAAACCACATGGGAGTAAAGTGAAATTAACCCAAAAAGATTCTCCCAAGTTGCTTTATTTAAGGTTTCAGGTTTTCTTATTACCCCAATAAACATTCTTTCAAGTGGTCCTTGTACAATAGGACCAATTGACTGGAACAAATTAGTCATTAATCTTTGCAAATAGCTGATTAGATTGACCACTTCTCTCATCTCATACATTAAATGGCGGTGCCTCACATTCTCATGTGATTAACTTGTACCTTAATGTTATGCAACATCTATGAGCTTTTGCTAGTGTTTCTCAATGTTTAATCTTCCTTGTATTTGTTGTTCCATCTATACGCTGGACATCCAGGGCGGATTATAATCCAGATTAGTATTTATGGGAAGAGGATTTTACTCTTGCGGGCACAAAGTACAAAAGACAGGACCTTGAGGCAAGTATGGACATCCATTACCAAACTTTCAGCTTCCATTGCCACTACCTATGTGCAATACACATTCTGTTTCATATTTATTATGGTTTAAGCTTCGCAAACTATATATTATTTCAAATTTGCAGCTAAGGAATCAAAGAGGCCACACCTTGCAATGCAGTCATTATGTGGGTTCACCTTTCCCAGAGGACACTCCTCTACCTTGTGTTGTATACTGCCATGGAAACAGGTTTGTCATAATCTCAATTTCATCTTTTAAGATTCCAAACCTCTCTCTCTCAAACAAATCATTTTCATCTTTTCCGATTCCAAACCTCTCTCTCTCTCTCTCTCTCTCTCTCTCTCTCTCTCTCTCTCTCTCTCTCTCTTCTCTAAACCCTAACCTAAGTCTTCTACATATCCTTTGATCGGTCGACACTATCTCCATTCTTCGATCGGCGAAGAATGATGAGCGGCGGCAGTGGTGGCGAATGAGTTCAATCTCAAATCCAAGTCTACAATCGATATTGAGTTCGCTAGCAAAAGATTGAATGTTGATGGCAAAGTCATCAAAGCTTGGATTTTGAACACTGCTGCTGGCCAAGAAAGGTAATTTTTAGTTTTAATTCATGATATGAGTTGGTTTGATTAGAATTTAATTGGTATGAAGAGATCTGAAGTGTAAGGAATATAAAAAAAGTTGCACTTTTTATTGGGGTTTTTCTCGGAAAATGCCTTTCAAAGTATTTTCTCGGGAAAATTAGCAGGTCACAATTTTTCATTGCAATGTTCTGGTCTTGGACTTACTGGGTCAATGGGATACCAGCTTGCAAGTTTGACAGCAGTAACCAATTTGTAAGATCAATAGCCTTCTAAGATGATTTGCTGGTGTTTTCATCTTTCTGTTTGATAATCTTGATGTGGTGATTTGATGAATTCTGTAGTTATATAAACAATAATAATCTTGGAAACTAGATACCTTATCAGCATCCTCCAAACTGCATGCAACTGTATTTTTAATACCTACTGATTTTTCCTTCTGTTCTATTTCAGTCCTTAATTTCATTTATCAAAAAATAAAAAATAAAATAAAAATTGCGCCCTTTAATTTTCTTATGGTGGTTTCATTAGCAATCCTCTTATAATGCAGAAACCTTGCTGGAAATGGCTTCACTGGTGGCATCCCTTATTCAATATCTTAGATGACTTCCCCAAAATACCTCTAAGACAAGCATCCGAAATTTGATTTTTATTGTTCATGTCAAAACTATTTAAAACTTCACACTTAACCACTGGTTGTTACATTGTGCTTTGATTGTAGAAATGTTGGTCACAATCAACTTCAGGGCCAAGTGAATGACATGTTTGGTGAGCTTTCATCCCTCTCCACATTGTAAGTTTACCCTCCATAACCTTTTTTCCTTGTGGAGTTCTCTCAATTATGCATACCTTGACATAGTTGAGGCGTTATCAGCAGCATTGTCTTTCATTATGATGTACAAGACTAAATGATTATAGTGTTTAGCCTTTTTTTCAATTCTTAAACACTTTGGTAATCATTACTTTCCATGCCACAGATGAGAAGCTTTATTTTGTGTTTTGTTTATTTTTTTGGGGCACAAATCAATATTGGTTGTTATAGCATTCTAAAGTATGTACTTTAGAAAATGTTACACGTTCTAACTAGCTCTTCAAAAGGTAATGTGGGGTGGGGTGGGAGGGGGAAGTAATTCAACCTCTGAAAACTTTTTGTTTTGGGCCTTTTGTATTATGTAGTTTCCATGGATTGAACTAAGCATTACAGTTTTTTTGTCCATCCTGGATATTGCCTGCTAAGATTTGATAGACGGCTCATTGGGATAGATGTGGATGAATAAATAATACGCCCCATAGACACATGTAGGAAGTTTTCTCCCCATGCCTTTCTTTGTTCATGGTTCAATGTTCTAGTGTCTAAGGAGCCATTTTCAATATGTAGAATAGTAATGGGGTACCATGATTGTTTTTATGTACACTAAGGGGCTATAGGATGTTAAATTACTTATTTCCCTGTTGAGGTACGTTCTATGGTAAAGCCTTCAACTTAACTTAAATGTAACATTTTTGTTCATAAACTTCGTGTACTCGGAAATAATTTGGTTGAACTAAAAAGACATAGGAAGTAATTAGATGTTTTGATAGGAGTTATTTAGGTGAAGAAAGACATGATTAATCGTGTTGAACCTATAATTGTGTGCTTTGATTTGTTCATTTGAGTTCTTGTTTGTATAAGGGTGGCAACCCCTCTGATGTTGTTTCTTTAATCAATTATTATTTATCAAAGAAAAAAAATTCAATTTTTATTTGAAGACATATTTCCACTTGCTTTTAGTACATCTATGAAGAACAGCACTGTGACGTTTCTGACTTCAACTCAATAGTTATGAACTGCACTATGACGTTTGTGACTTTGGCTGAAGTTTTTAGAACTCCAAACTAAGGGTGGTTTGGGTATGACTTATTTAGTGACTTATTGGCTGTTTACGAAAATACATGCACAAAAGTAGAGAATTGATGTGATAACTTGTAGTAAATAAGCCAATAAGTAGCTTATTTAGGTGGTACCCAAAATAGTTGAGACTTCTTGGCTATTGGAAATTGGAATATGTATCTAGTGTTGAGCTTCCCCTTGCACTGCTATTTTGGGGGTCCTATACTTATTTTAGATCTCTAAATTCTTATCGATTTTGTTTTTTGGACAGACATATACATATGGCAGTGTAATGAACTTTAGTTAGTATTGGCATAATTGAATGTTAACCATAGCATAACTTCTCTCCTTGTGTAGCAGGTTTTCTCTCCTCTGTTTCTTTCCATTATTTTCCCTTCATTTCTCTTTTTTATACTCTATCTACTTACTCTTTGTTTCTTCTTCTCCCTCTCTGGTTCTTCTTTGTATTTCTTCTCTGCTGCTTCTACTTCTATTTCACTTTTCTATTTCCCTTTCATCCTTATACAAGGTAACCTTTATTGCCTATCAATTTATTACAAGTTCTTTTTCTTTGTATGTTTTTCCTTGTAGGTTGTTTTGTATTATTGCATGATGCTACTTTTTCAATTTTATCAAGGTTTCTTGTTATTGATGATGTAGTTTCAGTTGAGCATGGTCTAAATAGCCAATTTGTAGCCATAACATCTAAATTCAAACTTGACCACCAATTTAGTATACTGGCCTATTGCGTCCAAGGAATTTTTTTTTTTCCTTCATTGAAATGGCTGAAATGTTTTTGTTTCCTAAGAAACCAACTTGAAACATGAGTGCAACTATGAAATTCTAACTTTTCCATTGAAGCATAACAAAACATCTAATTTAAAAATAAAAAAAAAAAATAAAAAAAAAAAAAATCTTAGAGATCAAGCAGTAGATCATTCAGGAGAGATAAATACTATATGTTAGTAAGTGTTTTTGTTCCTGCTTTTGTTCTTAACATAAAGTTTGTCTATAGTGATGGATCAGTACACATCATTGGTATAATGATTTCATTAATAACATCTTAATTGTTCTCAACTTAGTTGCCTTCAAACAGTTCAGAACTTGAAAGTGATTTGTTGCGTTTAGAACTTGTGTCAAGAACTTACTATTTTTAGACTGTTAGAAGGAGATGAGTTTTAAATTTTACTTCACTGCGAGGGAGAGAAAGATGAGAGGGATGAAAGGTGCTTGTCACTAGGTATTGGGGTTGGGTTTGGCCATGTACGATGGTGACCTGGTGGACTATGTCTATGAGGTTACTCAGTCACCCAACCTGGGTGTTTGGGGAAGTGGCTGCTGGGTTTTGTTTTAGAGGTGGTTGATAGCTATGGTGGCCTATGAGGCTATTGGTCAATGGTGGCGTGTGAGGTGTAAGAGGAAGTAAGAAGAAGAATGGAAGGGAAGAGTGGGTCTGCTGCTGTAGAAAGGAGGGAGAGGGAATGAAGAAGAAAATAATAGAAAAAGATAAATTAAAAATGGGGCAAAAGCATTATTATATATATTTCTTACATTCACACATGCTCAATTTAGTGTGTGGTGTACATGCATGGTTAACTAAACCAGAATTCGCGACTTTTGCACTTCACTTCAAATTTCAAGAGGGTTATGTATATATTTTTAAACATGAAGGAGGTAAAGTGCTTTTGGACAAAACCATAAAGGGGTAAAATGTAATTAACCCAAATTGGTTAGAGGTCTTATTGTGTTTTTATTTCAATATCTATTCACGTGTGTTTGTTTTTGTTTTTATGGTTGCTTGCATGCATGTGTTTTGACCTTTTACGTCGTTGAGGTTAAAAATAAAATAGGAAAATATTTAGATTTAAATAAAAGTGCTGATTAGTTTGTGTCAAAAAGGTTCTATGATTCTCTTTGGTTCTTGTTGACATTAGTGTTAGTGATACATGGTATTCCTGCACTCTTTTGGCATCTTTTGGCATCTTCTGTTATCCGTGTTACTTATCATCAAGGATAACCTCAACTCTTTGAAGTTTTGGATTGTTATATGCATTTCTATTAAATTGGTTTATACAATAAAATTATTTATATATGAGTTTAAATGTAATTGACAATATATTAATGTTTTCCTTATTTATTTTCTTTGCAGATTGATTTTGATGACGTTGGGAAGTATACTTGCAAACCAAGATCAAGTGTTGAATTTATTTATTTTTATCTGAACTGATACTTAGTTCTAGTTGCAAATCAAGATCGTGATGATTTTTTTTGTGGACTCCACGTTAGTTCATTTTGGGATTTGCTATAATGTTTTTTTTGTTATACTTAATGGATTATTATTAAATTTGTTTAATGAATATATTTTGATTTATAATATAAATTGTTAAGTGAATTTTTTTTGTGGAGTGTTGTACAATAGCTAGTGGATTTCTTAGTACAATTAAAAGGCTATTGGGATATGAGCAGTGATATTTGTGAACTAATAATTTAAATTGAAATATAAAATATGGAATATGTTTAGTGACGAATTTGTTTCGTCATTTGTACTTGTTATTATGATAAAGTGATTATTCGTCGCTAATAAATATTTTTTGTGATAAAATTTATTACAGCTTATATATGAAAGTTTTTA